CAGGCAGGCACAAGGCTGCTGGTCTTATTGGGGAGGTGACTCAGGAGGACCACAGAACGAAAAGGCCAGCGAGAGAGGAAGTTAGGCTGGGAGACAAGTCAGACATGATGCTGGCCGGGGAGTCTGAACCTGATCCACAGGAACGGGAGCCAATGAAGCCTTGGATTTGGTGCAAGTCAGTGAGTTAGTGAGAGGCTGGCGAGAAGGTGTGTATCGTGAGTGTAGACTCCTCTTTGGAGAAATGTGGCCAAGGAAGGACAGAAGTGTGACAAACAGGACAGCAGCTGGTCAAGAGTGTGAGTCAAGGGGACAGCTCCTGGTTGTAGGTGGGACATAATTTACTACGCCTATGGTCTCTGAGGAAAGAGTCAGTAAAAAAGAAGATGCCGAAAACACAAAAGAAGGGATAACAGAGGAGGGCGGTCGCTGAGGAAAGGAGGCAAAGGACGCCGGACTAGCCCAGAAAAGCTGCCCTTTGCAAGCAACAGTGGAGAGAAGGTGATCAAGAGGGTCATGGCATGTACATGTCGTGGGGGGGGGTTCATGGGGGCCTCCACTCCCATCATGAGGTAAGTCATCTGAGCAAAGGGTGCCTGGGAGCCAGAAGACTCAGGGCTCACACTGGAGTGCAGGGGACTAGCAGGGGCGTGACTGAGGCAAAGGGACATGTTTCTTCGGAGGCATAAGCTGAGGCCCTACCTCAGTGGTGGCAGCCATTCGCCTCTCCACAATGCCCCCACAGTCATGTGATCTCTCCAGCTGTGCCCAGAAGGAGACAGAGACTCACAACTGGGACTGATCGATCAAAACGGAGCCCCACTGGGAGGGATGATGGGAGGCTGAGGCTGAGGAAGCCAAGGGTATCTGCAGAGCTAATCAGGGGGGTGGGGCTGCCAGGGCAGGAAGCGGGTCAGGACTGGAGTTGGAAGACAGAGAGGGGAAGAGGGAGGGGAGTCTTAGGGAACCGCCTTGGTCACGTGGAATCAGAAAACCAAGAGTGTTGCCCCATCCCAGGGCGACCCGAGAACTTACTTTGGGCCCGTCCACCAGCTCCGTAAGAGGCGTCTGTAGGAAGAAGGTGGACACGACGAGGTAGACTTCCGGGATATGAACGTGGTGGGCCAGAGAGTCGCTCAAGACTCGGAAGCCAGGAAGCAGGCAGGGGCTCTGGTCGGGCACGGGAGGGTGGCTCCGCAGGCTCTCTGTTGATGCGGGAGGTGCCCAACAGCCACTGAGAACAACTGCGGTCGCTTCTAGTCGAGGACTCCCTGCCACCCGCCCATCCCATAGAAGCGCCTGATGGAAATACACGTCATACACACAGGGGCACAAGAAAGTGCTCAACAGGAGGTCCTTTCCCTGCTCCTGATGTGCCCATTTATTCATTCATTCATTCATTCAAAAACAGACGCTAATTTAGTGCCTACCTCCTTAGAGGTGACCAGACCTCTTTGTATCAGACAATAAGAACATAGCGTTTTGACAAAATATACAGAACCCCGGGCCTTCATCAGCTACTTACAATGCAATAGGAGGGACAGACATGAAAGAATTAAATACCCAAATAAATCTATGCTTGTGAATTGTGATAAGAACTATAAAGAAAAGAGAGTATAACAGAGGTGTCCTAATCCAGACGGGACCCTCCTCTCCTGGAGGAAGGGGCCTTAAGGAAGACCTCACATCAGGAGAGATGTGCTGGTGTCAAGGGCTGAGGAGGCACCCCAGGAGGAGGGAAAGAGCTAAGGAGACTTTGAGGAATGGGAAGAAATCCCAGCATCTGAAGAGCAGTGATGCCACGGGGAGATCCTGAAAAGGAAGTCAGAGGGGACTGGGGCCGATCGGGGGTCAGGGTCAAGGTGATCCTACTGCACGGGGCTGAGCAGGCCCCAAGCAGCCTCACTTACAGACCACAGGTGGTACCCGCGTCCCAGAGATGGCCACACACTCACCCATCATGATGTCCACGCCCTCGGAGCTGCGCTCCACCCAGGACCCGGCAGGCAGGCCGTCTTTAAATCGTGCGCGGAGGGAGGGGCTTGACAAAAAGTGCAGCAGCAGCTTCAGCCCCAGCACCACCGAGCTGGGGTGCACGTGGGCCTGCACGAACAGCAGGAACCAGTCGGGCCCCAGGTTCAGAAACATCTCTTCCTTTGTCCTGCATGGGGGAGAGGGGTCAATAAAATGCTACCAATTATCTCTCAGTCCACAAGCAAGTGACACGTCGGAAACACGGGAATAATGTGCAGCCTCACTAGTCACCTAGAAAAGTCAAGTTCAGGTTAACATCCAGATATCCCTTAGCAAAGTACACACTCCATTTTAAAAGACTGGTAAAATAAAATGCTGGCAAGGTGGCTGTGAAATACATGGAATTTGTCTATTAATGGCTGGAGTGTAAGTGGGCCAAAACTCTTCAAAGCAATTGGAAACTCTGTATCAATAGATGTAAAAATATGCAGGCTTTTGACAGCCCTACTCACTAACATTCATACTTACACAGCGTATGACTAACCACCCATCTAATTACATCAATGTAGTCATATAAAACACACAACGATTACTTAACTCCCTTTTTAAATAATTGGTCAAAACTAATCTAAATGGAACAGTCCAGTATGTATGCATCTTTATTGGTTTAGACAAAAAAAAATACATGTTTAACTGTCACTTTCAAAAATGAGTTTTAAAATGATGAGTCTAAAGAATACAGACTTGCTGGAGGGAAACGAGGGAAGGGAGCTGTGCAGCCCATCCTCAGGGGCAATGGTTCAGCAAAGGACTCAGCCTCCTGAGAGTCAGGGAAGGATTCACCTTTGTTGGGCAGTGTTCTCAGCACCAGCTGCCAGACTCAGCATAGTGAGGGTGTGGCCACTGGAACTAGGAGTCAAGAAACTGCCCTCCTTTCTAGCCATGCCCCCGCTTATTAATTGGATGACTTTGGCAGAGTTCTTGATACGCTCTGGCCATTTTCCTTCATTATGATGATGATGGTGGTGGTGATGGTGACGGTGATGAAGATGATGGTAGCGGTGGTGGTGATGGTGATAATCAGCAGTTAGCTTATGGAATATTGAGAGTGCCCCAGGCACCATGCTCATGGCTATCCACATGTTAATTTCCATCTATGGCAGATACCATTTTTATCCTCATATAGATGAGTAGAAGAGAGGCATGGGGGCTTAGGTAACCCCCTCAAGATCCCTGCGGGCAGAGCTGGGATTTGAACCCTGGAAGTCTAGTTGTCAGACCCCAGGTGCCTAAACAGTATACTACATTTCTTTTCAAAAAGTCAAAAAGGAAGATGCCTGCCTTCCTCATCCCCAAGGCATCTTCCAGTTCTACGATGCCTTGATTCTAGAAATATAAAGACTTTATAAGTAAAAGTATCTGCAAGGCTGTTTTACTGAGGGGTAACTCCCCACCCCAATTCCTCCCTGCCCCAAACACACGTACACACTGAAATGTCAACTCAGTGAGAGTAAGGACCCACTTGCTCTGAGAGAGGAACAGTGTCTGGCACACAGTAGGTACTCAACAAAGAGTTGTTGAATTCATGACTCCAGAGCTGAGATAAAGCAGGCAGGCAGTCTGAGAGAGTTAATGGAACTTTATGATTACACATTGTTTTGAAAGTTAATTGAAGGCAGACAACTCCTTTTTCCAACTTGGGGAAGTTACTAACAGTAAATAGCAGAAGAGTTTGGCAAGTCTTTTCCTTGATAGATGTTATTCGGGCTAACAATTTCTCCATTCTATCGCCTGCCAAGTACAGGACATCAAAATCAGTAATTATCACAACTGCCAAAACAATAACAATTACACTGTAGCAATGGTGACGGAAAGAGTTTATTGTAATTATACCAAATCTGTTTCCAGTTACTCATGCCCGTTTAACATTTGCATCAGAATATCTTAGGGCAAGGTCTGCTTTATTGGGTGGAGAGAATATAATTTTCTTTCTGCCTAGTGCAGAAAGCACACTGTAGAAAACCAACTCAGAGATGCTAAACTTTTCATTAAGAAAAGTCTTTCATACCGCACCCTGTATGAGGCAGCCTCATGCCAAATCACTCTTTCTGGAGCTACTCACTCAGAGGACAGATGAAGTTGGGAAGAAGAGATTACACTGAGCAGCATCTCCAGCAACTGGTTTCTGAGCCAGATTGTCTTTCCAGATGTTTGGCTTCCAGCTACAAAAAAAAAAAAAAGAAAGAAAGAAAGAAAGAAAATTCAGATTTGAGAGAAAACGGATGTAAAGAGACATAATATTTGCTGCAGTAGGCAATCGTATCTACCAAATGCTTCGTTCTCCCAGGAATTCGGGCATGGCTGGGGCTCGAAATTTTGGCGTTCAATTCTAGATTTCCATGCAATGATTAAAAAGAATTTCAGGCAATGTTCCTAAAGTCCCTTTAACTGGAGATGTTTTTGATGCTCCCCTTTTCCCCACGAAAAAAAAAAAATCCTGAAAATGGTAAGGTCAAATTTCTCTTCAAGTGGAAGAATGTCTTAAATTATCACAGACTGCAACATTCCCGAGCACCTACAACGTGCTGGACATTATGGGAGGCACTGGGGACAGAGTGGTGATGATTATGGTGCGTGATCTGGGTTTCTGCTCTAGGCTAGGCCTCTGACATGTCTATGTTTGCACTGCAGTGTGAATTGTAGCAAGAGGTATGCAGATCCACTGGAAGAAGAAACTTTACGTCTGAAGTTTATTCTAACCCAGAAGGACATGTAAATACTGTCTTAATAGAAGATGTTTAGTTAGATAAAAGTTTCACAGTGGAGTCCCTACGAGAAGGAGGACTGACTAAACAGTGCACTGTTGGCCCATTATCCACTCATTCATTCCCTTGGTTGGCCAATTATTTTATCACCAATTCAGGGCACGCCCACCATGCTGTAGAGATATGACTGATGAGGGAGCTTGGAGAAGTGGAGTCAGACTCCCCTCTATTTGGATTCCAGCCCTATCTCTCATTAAGTTCCTAATCTCTCTAAGCCTCGGTTTTCAGATCTGCAAAATGGGAAGAGTAATTCCTACTTTTCAGGCTTGATCTAAGGATAAAAGATATTTTATCTAGATTGAGTAAGACGATCCAAGAGAATCTTTAGTGATAAGAATGTTCTCTATCTTCCCTGTCCAGTGAAGGCAGTAACCACTGGCCTCACGTGGTTATCAGGTACTTGGGACACGGCCAGTGTGTCTGAGGAATTTAATTTTTAATTGTAGTTAATTTCAATTAATTAAAATTTAAATTTAAATGGCCGTATGTGGCTAGAGGCTCCCATCTTGGACAGCGCAGACCCGAAGGGCCCAGGACAACGCGATCAGTAGTTAACCGTCCCCTTCACATCTGCCTTAGCAGAGGGAATGCAGAACATGATGTAGCTGCTGTCCTGCGTCTGGTTGAGGAGAGAGAGAGACTCAAAGGAACAAATCACAGACCTGCATGAAGGTAAGCCCAGGGACTCTAGAAGCACAGAGGAGGACTCTTAACTTGGCTTGTGGGGCTGGGACTGGCTAGTGAGTGTGGTGAGGGAGGGGGGTGGGGTGGGGCCTGCTCAGGGAACAGCACGGACAGATGGCAGACCATCATACGTTAGGATGTGGAAGTGCTTCAGAGTGTTGAAATTGGGGCTCATCAGGGGAGCAGGGCAGGGGAAAGCCACCCGGGAAGGCAGGTGGGGGCTGGGGCATGAAGGCTCCCACCTGCTGGTCTACAAGGAACCGGGTGTCATCCTGGAGGCCTTGGGAGCCATTCCAGGTTGTGAGAGAAGAACATACGGTTTGATTCTATTTGAAATCCTAATCATATAGCTCTCCCTCCTCCTTTCATGCAAAATGGTCCCAGCGCCTGTGCCTCTCAGGGCTGTTGTGGGGGTCGTCCTGCTGCCTTCAGACTGGCAGCTGGGAAAGGTCTCCTCACCGGGCACGGAGGGGTCTGGGGCTCCGTCCACGCAGATTGGCCTCTCGCTCACTGATGAAGGCTTGAGGGTGTACACAACAAACAGCCCGATCCTGAAGGCAGAGAGAGAAGGACGCGCTCGACGGGGCCCAGGCCATGTCTGCTGAACACATGTGAAGGCTTTCTGCACGGACCCACCCCAAGGTGGCTTCAGGGGAGGGTCTGAGGGGAACCATGTTATTCTGTGATCAATGTGGTATTTCCAGAGCCTTGTAAAGTCTGTCAGGATTCATCAGAGCAGCTAACTCTGGCTCTGCCAGCTCAACAGCACAGGGATGCAGACAGAAAAGGTGACACGTCATGCCAGTAGAGATCGTTCTTTGGGAAATCTGCAAGAGGTGGGCATGCTGGGTCACTGGCTGGTGAGGATGGCCATGCTCGTGGAATTTGTTGCATTCTTGGCACAGCAGGTGTGTCCGAGCACCAGGGAGCACTGGACACACAGCCCTGCTGGGGAGTCCAGTGGACCCACCCCTTTCTTCAACTCTTGGCCCTGAGCAGAGAAACTCCTAGAATGTTCCAAAGAAAAAGAACCTGCTACTGTGTTGAGTGTAGTCAGGAGAGAGCTGGGGATTATATTCCTTCATTAAACTGCCCGAAGGGTCTGCCCTTCCTGCCCGGGGAGCTGGCGCAGTACCTGAGCAAGTCCTGGAGGCTGAAGTGGCCCCGCAGCTGACGGCCTAGGATGGCAATGATGGTGGGCATCTTGGAGGGGGTGAGGCCCGGCTCATTGAAGAGGAAGATGAGCTTGGGAATAAGCCGTGTCTGGTGAGCAACTTCAGCATTCCGGGGTCCGTCCCTGGTGAGCCCGGGAGAGAGGCAGTAAAAGCTTTTACTGGAAAGAACCAAATTCGCTGTGTTTCTGCTAAAAAGGTTTCAAAGACTGGGCTTGCTCCGTGGCCCTCTGACTCCACCGCTCTCTTGTTAGCTCATCAAAATGCAGTCAGACACCCATCAAAGAAGTGTCTGCCCAGTGCCAGCATCGCTCGGGGATGAGCCCCTGTGCCCTTCCACCCCCAGAAACTGCCTTCAAAGATAAGCCCCGGTTATTGACTTTAAAATTCCAAGCCTCGGGGAAAACTAATGCCGGGTCTCAGAAAACACAGAACAAAGAGAGCAGACTGGAGTGTGACCACGGAGCACTTCCCAACAGCCGGGAGCGCGCCCTCGGCGAGCCTGTCTGGGCGTGCGCTCTTCCTGCCCGCCCCAAACCGCAAAGTGGATGAACAGCGCCGCCGGAGTCAGAGGGGAGAGAGACAGAATTCAAGCCTCCACAGCCCCTCCTTAGGATAATCGCACATCCACTTTCCAGTAAATCCTACCCCCCACCAAGAAAACAGCCCCCAGGGTGAGTGTCCGTCTCCTAGAAAATAGCAGGTACAGAAAGAAAGTGGAAAAGTCGGGAAGGAAATAAAGGTGGAGGAGAGTGAATCTGGGTGAGTGGCTCCTGCTTGAACGGTCTTTTCAGGAGTGGTGTGTTCAATTCTGCCCAGCTCCACAGCCCTGACACACAATTCTGCCCAGCTCCACACCCCTGATACACAATTCTGCCCAGCTCCACACCCCTGATATACAACGGAGGCAGAACCAGCCCAGTTCTGTGTGTGACTTGCATTCACAGGCTCAGTGGGAAAAATATGCGTGCATCACCTGTAAATCCCCACCATCTTGTGCTCTTTCTTATCCCTGAGCAGCCCACTTTTCTGTGTTCCTTCTCCACAGGACTGTGCCTTATCCTTCTCCGAACTTCCAGCACTAAGAACTAGTGTGAAACGGAGTGGGTTTATAATAGTTGGTCAATTATGAGCGGCTGAATGAAAACATGGTTGCAGCACCAAGGTATTAATGATTTCTAGAATGGCTGACTGGTGAGGAGGCAGGTGGAGGTGGGTGTGAACAGCCCAGTGTGCAAGGAAGGAGGTGGGTTGATAGGCTGGCTTCCTTGCCTTCCTTCTGGTCACAGCCCCTGGCTTTCTTTGGGAACTACCTCTTTCTAACCGCCCTGCACCCACTCCAGAGGGCAAGCCATGCTCCTGGCCTGGACACCTGACCCAGGATGGCCCCATGGGACTCCATCCTATTGCTAGGCGTATTGTGTGAAAAAGAAGCCCTCTCTTCTGACTGCGTTGAGCAGAGGACGTGCTCTGAGTGCTCTAAGAGCAGGGGAGCAAGTGGAGACAAAATCAGGGGCAGATCTCAGATAAAGGAGTGTGAGCACCACCTAGACAACACGTGAAGACCTGCCTCACTCAGTTGTGTGAGCCAAGAAGTGTCCTCTCTCTCCACCTTCCTTTCTCCCCTCCTTTTTCCTTCCTTTTCCCCTCCCTTTCTTCCTTCCTTAAGTTGGTTTCAGTTGTCTTTCTGCCACTTGCTATCAAAAGAGCCCTAATTCAAAAAGTGATGTTCAATGTGACGGTATTTGGAGGTGGGGCCTTCGAGAGATGCTTAGGTCATGAGGGTGGAGCCCTCACAAATGGGATTAGTGTCCTTATAAAGGACACCACAGAGTGCCCCCCACCCCTTCTGCCATGTGAGGTTGCAGTGAGAAGACGGCCAACTATGAACCAGGAAGCAGGTCCCCACCAGACACTGAACCTGCCAGAGCCTTGATCTTAGACTTCCAGCCTCCGGAACTATGAGAAGTAAGTTTCTGTGATTTGTAAACCACCCAGTCTATGGAATTTCTGTCCCAGCAGCCTGAGCAGATTAAGACAGACATGCCGTGGTCAGGGGACCCAATGCTCTGGGAGTGGGGGCAGACGTGGCTGCTGAGCCACCAGCGGTCCTGCCCTCTCAACCCCTGTCCTCAGCATGAAGCCTTCGGTTCCAGTCCTTAGCCTACCTTGGTGACTGAAGTATTTCCACAAGATGGGAAAAGAGGGAGAGCTCCAAGTTGTCCGCAGTGTTCATCCAGAGCTGGAAGATGGAACACACAGTGAAACCAAGGCGCGCGGGAAGAAGGGTTTCCAGGCAGTGTGAGCAGGTGGGGTGCCAGGGGTGGTCTGCTTGGCTTGGCATCACTAGCGCAACTTACCAGCTCTGGAATCAGCCTAGCTCTCCTGACAGCTAGACGGTAGAGGACGCCTCCCCCAGGGGAAAGCTCAGCTGTCCTTCCTGTCTTCCCCCATCTCTGCTGCTGTCTAGAGCTTTACTGTGAGTCTAGATTCCAACCAAGGACACCAGCACTAACCACCCCCTCCGGGTGTCGCACCCTGGGCCCCGCAGTCTCATTCTCACTGGATCCTACCAGGCAATTATCAGCGTTCCCAATTTAGAGATGAGAAACTCAAGGCTGAGACAGACCACTGAGTGACAGGTCCCTCTCAACACCAGCAAGTGACAGGGCTGGAATCAGAAGCTGGGTCTCACCTCTCAGGGTTCATGCAACTACGCAGCCGACCAGTGCATGCAATTTCTTCAGGCCCCCGACCTGGAGAACCTGCTGCAAGCCCCCGCTCCCATCTGCTGTACAACAGAATTGGGAGCGACCCGCAGGCGGGAAACGCACTGAGCTTCTGAAAGTGAGGTTTTATCACGCGAGCTGTTTGCATCCACCGTAAACGGAATGTTAGCTGCTTCCCACCCTCCTGGGGCAAAGGTGGTGGCGCACCTTCACGTCTCACTTCTCCTTCCCTTTAGAAAGCCCTGCTATTTCTCATCTAAATACTGACATTTCCTAAGGCCCAGATCTAGAAGGTTCAGACGCGAGATTATAAGAATGCACTCACAGAGCAGCCAAAAGGGCTCGCACTTACAAATGATACCATTTGCTGGAGGCAAGAAGCATCATACAAAGTCCTAAAATGCTATCATTTTCTGCAATTACTAGATAAGAACAGGGAGGCTCAGAGCGACTAAGTAACTTGTCTGGCGCCCCTCGGTTTTTAATTGGCAGTGACGGGCCTCAAAGCCTGGGCTGTCTGACCACGGAGCCCACTCTCGTGCCTCCTCGCTGTGTTCCCCCACAGGCACCTCCTGCAGACCGTGGCTCAGAGGGTCAATAATCAGCCTCTCACGACCAAGCAGGTGGCCGTGACTCCATCCCTTTACTTACAAGGGGAAGCAAAAGAGCCTCCCCGGACACAAGTTTATCAGGAAGGCAGAGACTGTCCCTCTTCAGTCCCCAGGGCCCGGCACCGTGCAGGCCACACAGTGGGCACTTAATAAGGATCCATTACATTTCTTAAAAGAGAAGGTAAACCAGAGTAAGACAAGTGGATCACTTTTAAGCCAGAAACAGGCTGACAGAGTTCCAGCCCCGGAAGCACAGCCACTGCCTGCTACACACAGACGTAGGGCAGCTACCACTGGAGAGAGCTGGGGTGGATCCATGTGGCTCCCGGGGAGCTGGGGGGAGCCAGGCATGGCACCCCAACATACCCAAGAGGACGCCAAGAGCTCTGCACACTTGGAATACTCATTCATGAAGGGAGTCGTTGAACAAATGAAACAGCAGGCTCTGGGATGGGAGCTGGGAGAGCTGAGAAAGGCAGGCAGGAACCCCACCACAACCCTTATCCTTCCCACAAAAGCGTACCCTTCCTCCCAATTTATTTTCCAGAGTGTTAGAACAATGAGAAGTTGCCACAGCACACCTGAGGCTGCCTAGCCCTTCTAGAAATTACTTTGTGTAACATAACACCAATTGTCTGAATTTTGGAAAACATGCATAATTGAATCTTTTGGTTGTTGCCCTGTGCTAAAGACTGCATTTAAGACATCTGGATTACAATTGTTTGAATATCAAATGTGTCAAATTCTGTTCTCTCCCCACCTTCGGACGATCTCATTCTCAGAAAGAGCTGGCCTGTCCTTTCTTCAAAAGACCAAAAGCCTAAGATCTGAATGACTTCAACTTCCTGTTTCTCTTTGCTTCTCAACTTCCTGCCCGTTCCAGCTTCTCAGCTTCCTGCCCCTTCCAGCTTCTCAGCTTCCTGCCCCTTTCAGCTTCTCAGCTTTCTGCCTTCCCTGCTTCACATTAGTCATCAAGGATCCCACCCCTTATCCTATAACCCACTCTGATCTCCAAATTCTCCCTCTCCTCTAAGGACCTGCCCCATCAGTAGCTGATTCTCCCACTGGTACTCTGATCACTCTCTTTTCACTGTTTCCCCTTCCTCAGCCTACAATCAGACTCAATTCTCCTATCTTAATTCCTGAAACTCTCCCCCCTCTATTTTCCTCTTTTTTTCCAAAGCCTACTGACTGTCTACGTCTAGCCTGCTCTCCACTCTTCACCTCAGGCTGACCCCGCTATTTACTCTTTCCTAGGCCTGGTAGTGACCTCCAAACACAACGCACACGTCCCTGCCCTTACTGTACTTGATGTAGGCAGACACTGGAGAAGCCCTTCTTCCTACTGAAATTCTCTCCGCTCAATCTTTCTAACATTCTATTTCATTTCATTTTATTGTGGGCTATTTTTTAGCATCTCTTTTTTGTGGATTTTTATTGGATGCTTATTTTCTTAACTTCAGCTTTAAAAGCACCCACTCAGCTCAGTTCATTTACTCCGAGAGGGGACAGGGTGCTGCCTAGGGTGGTTCCAGGAGCAGGCAGTGGGAGCATGGTGGATTCCTGCACAGACAATTCCTGGGCTGGGCTGGTACAAGGATGCCATGGAGCCAAGCTGCCTGAGCAAGACCACAGCATTTTAGAAGCAGCAGCTATGCAGCCAAGGCAGGCTGTCTTGTATATCAGCGTGGTAAAGCCCTCTGTGCAAATCTCCTTCCCTGCTGTGCACAGGGAGCCCATAGCTCAGACCCTGAGTCTATCTTCAGTTCCAGGACCAGGGTGTTCATCCTGGCCTGGTCCAATTAGATCACATTTTATTCACAATTTTTGGAGCTTTATTTATGAGTAAGATTGACCTGTAATTTTTCACTTCCCATACTATTTTTTCTGGTTCTGGTATTAAGATTAGCTCATAAAAGAATCTGGGAGAGGTCCCTTCTCAATTTTCTGGAAGAGTTTATAAGGCTGGAATGGCCTGTTTCCTGACTGGTAGAACCTTCTTATAGATGCCCTGGGCCTGAACTTTCTTTGTGAATGTTGTTTGTTTGTAAGATTTCAAACCCGTGATTCCATTCATTTGATGGTTATGGGACCATTTGAGTTTCGTATTTCTCCTTGAGTGAGTTTTGGAAATAAATTTTCTTGGACATTATTCAAATGAGCTTTGTGTTCACATTTATCGCACACAGTTGCCGATCGCATTTTTTTGGTTCTCTTTCTAACTGCTCGTTCTTCTGTGGTTAGTCTTCCCTTCTCCTTCCTGATAGAATTTACTTGTGCCTCTCATCTTTTTTTCTTGACCAATCTCAACAGGTTTGTATGTTTTACCAGAACCAGTCACTGGCCTTGTTAATCCTCTGTAGGCTTGTTTTCTTTCCTATTTAATTAATTTATGTTCTCATTTTTATTTTTCCTTCTTTCTTTCTCTGAATTTTGTTTTTGTTTGGTTTTTTGTGTCTTTGTTTTTGCTTTTTTCCCCCCTTGATTATTCTAACTTCTTGATCTGCAGCCTCTGTTGATTAATTTAAAACGTTCCCTTTTCTCATACATACATCAGTGACTACAAATTTTCCTGCAAGTACAGACAAATTTAGACCCCTTCCTTGTTTTGCTATATAGTGTTTTTCTTGCCATTCGGTTCCCAATCGCTTCTAACCTGAACTGTGACACTTATTGATCGTCCTCTTTATCCCACTGCCTTTGCCACAATTCAGGTTTCAGAATCTTCCACCTAGATTTCTGCAGCAATCTCCCTGCCTGGAGCTCTTGCCATCAGAGTAATAGACCTAAAATAAAATTCTAACATGTCATTCTTTAGTTAACATTCTTAGGTATCGGCTACTTAGCAAAATTTACCAACAGTCTAAAAATTGTTTAGAAAGCCTTTATCCTAATCATTCAACTTTGATCATTTCTTCTAAGGGAATCGTTTTAAAAGTGGAGGATGTGTGTGCACAAAAGTCCAGCCTCTGTTAGCATTCATTCATAACAACAAATAAAGGAATAATCTAAGAATCTGACAGTAGGGGAATGATGAAGAGATGAGGAACTCTCTGTAAGACAGATTATTGTTCTGACCTCAGAACAATGCTTGCAAGAGTCTAATAAAAAAATTGTTTAATGCTTATATTATGTGAGAAAGGCAAGATTTCAAAATAATACCTACACTATGATTGTGACTATAATAAAATATATGTATATATATGTATATATGTATGTGTGTGTATGTGTATGGGTATATATATATAATGCATAAAAAGTACCAAAAAAGGGATGCAGTCAAAGTTAACAATAATTGTCTAGATCTCAAAAATCAGTGTTTGTCTTCCATTTTTTTCTGTAATTAAAAATATTCTATAATAAGCATATATTATCTTTTAACTAAAAAAATCATGTTTAAAACCCTTGAGCAGACTCCAGCAGGTACCAGCTAAACTGCACATCCTGCAAGTTCACATCTTCTGCCTGTCTTCTCTCCCCCTTCCTCCAGCCTCACCTCTACCCGCAACAGCACCCGTGCAGGCGCCCCTAGCCACCTGCTCTCAAGTCCCCATGGTTGGTCTCATCCCCACATGTGGGTAAACAGCATCCACTCCACTTGGGATGGTCCCACACTGAACGCATCCTGCCAGACTGAGCCCCAGAGCACTGAGCTGTAGAGCTGAGCTGACTGTCCACTCCTCCCACTCCCCAGATGCCCCGTGCCTCCCTCACTGGCACCCAGCACCTTGTAGCATCACCTTTGTCATGTCCCAGGCCCAGGCAACTGGGTGGAGGGTCTGGGTCCCAGTTATCACCACGCCTCCAGGACATACACCGGTGCCGGACCCCAGTGGTCACTCAGGAAATGAAGCTTTGTGAATGCTTCTATCCACCCCCAGCTCTGTGCAGTCCTCCCCACTTAGTCTCATATATGCCCTCAGCATCTTTCACTCATTTATAAACTTGGATTTATAAACAGCAAAGCACCTTCCAAAGGAAGTGGTACTTCTTAAAATCTCATAAACATGGAAGCTTACAACTTTAAAAACCTTTTCTGGATAATATCTGATTTGACTCCCACACCAGCCTGTGAGGGAGTGGTGATGGTCTCCATTTCATATAGAAGACTAAAACTCAGAGAAGTCATGACACTTGCCTGAGGCCACACAGCCCATTAGTGGTAGGAGTTAATTATAAATCAGGGCCTCTGAGCACCAAAGCCTTTGTGGTTTCCTCTCTCACTACCATCTTGACGTTGGAGGAAGCTGCCCTGCTGGGTCTAGAGGAAACACCAGGCTTTCTGCACCATCACACATGCTCCTTTAGGGCTAATGACCAGTCTCCAGTTTACCTCAAAATTGCAGAGGATGTGCTGGAAGACGCCCACGTTGGTGATCACAGACGACCCAAAACCCAGTTCTGCAGTGCCAGCGATGGACAGGATCAGCTGAAAGATGCGATGGTTTAGGAAAGAGGTCTTCTTCCTCAAGAGAAACGCCATTATCTGAAAAGGTTAAAAAAAATGTTTATACTGTATAGCACAGGGAAATATATTCTATATCTTGTAGTAGCTCATGGTGAAAAAGAATATGAAAGTGAATATATGTATATCCATGTATGACATTGCGCTGTGCACCAGAAATTGACACAACATTGTAAACTGACTATACCTAAATAAGAAAAAATTAGATTAAATTAAAAAATTGAAAATTTTTTAAAAAGCAGATTCGTCATGAATGCATCTGCACCGGTCTCTCTCCCTCACCTGCCTGTTGCTGAGAACACCCTGCTCTCTGGCGCTCCCCTCTCCGTTCCCCATTCTCAGAAGGAAAACACACACCAGCTTCTGTGGCTGCTTCCCTACCAGTGTCCCTGAGTCCTCGTGCAGCCTGACCTCTCTCTAGGGACCCCCGGCTCCTTCCTGAATCTTCCACATTTCCAGGATGCTGCTCTCTCCTAGTTTCCTACTGCGTCCTGGGTGCTTTTCTCATTTGCCTTTACTGGCTCCTACATTCATACCCATCCCGTACATGCTACTGTATCCCTCGGAAGCCACCATGTGCCTGTGAGCCCAGCTACCCCAGCCTCACTTCAGGCTGCAGCCACCAGACGTGCTATTCTGCTGTGCAGGACCCTGGGAAACCTGCAACATGCAGGCATCCACACCGGGATGCAGGCACGGGACCCCAGTGACCCACACTCCTCTCAGAGACCAACAAGAGGGAGCTCACCTAGCCGCGTGTCTCTGTTGATCCCACTCACACACAAGTCAGGCTGCCCCGCCATCCACTGGCATCTGGGTTCTCAACCGCTTTACCCGGAGTCTCAGCTCAGCTCACCCACAGCTCAGTTCCCTACGCCTGGATATGACACAGTGCACCCTTCTCCCTGTCCCCTCAGACCCATTCTTTCAAGGTGCCATTAGGTCTCACTTGTTGTGATGGACTGAATGTTTGTTCCTCCCAAAAGTCATAGGCTGAAACCCTATCCCCCAATGTGACGGTATTTAGAGGTGGGTCCTTTGGGATGTAACTACCATTAGATGAGGTGGGGGAGTGCTCGTGGACGGGACTAGGGCCGTTATGAGAGTCACAAGAGAGTGTGCTTCCTCTCTCTGCTCTGCCACCTGAGGGTACAAGGAGAAGCTGGCCATCTGCATCCAGAAAGAGGGTCCTCACTCAGCCTCATGCTGGCACCCTGACCTTGGACTTCCCGGACTCCGGAACAATGACAAAATTCATTTCTGCAGTTCATAAGCATCCCCCCGGTCTATGGTCTCCTGTTACAGCAGCCCAAACTGACTAGGACAATTGTGATCGGCAAATAATATCTTTTCAGACGGTTCCAGCCACTTCTTTGGCATATGTGAAATCTGGCCACTCCTCCCTCCCCGCCAGGACATCATTAGGACGGGTGAAAGTTGCTTGAGAAAAATCACTCGGGCCAACAGGTTTCACTGTACATCAATAGTGTCAAATGTCAGACTGGTACTCAGTTTGGCCTGAAGTCCGACTGTTTTTCTCAGAGGCTGGTCTTCCTCATCCTAAATATGATGCTCTCACCTCCTCTCCCTTCCCCTCCACCACCCAGCCCAGCACACAGCTGAGAATTTAGACCCCACCAGACACAAACACTCTCAGCTCTTTACCACCAGGTCCACGAGCACCTGCAGCGCAGTCCTTCCCGTCATAAGCAGGGCTTCCACTCACCCGGCCTCTGGAACCCACCCCTCGCCTTCTCCTGGGGATAACTCTTCTCTCCCGGATTCATCCATCTTTCTCTTGTCTGTTACGTCCTTCCCGACAAATAAGCCCTAGTAGGTCTCCTCTTAAAATTAATCCTCCTTTGACCCCCCCAATCCCTCTAGTTCGGGCCCCATTTCTCTACCCCTTTTTGTAGGTAAACTTCTAGAAAGCACTGCCGACACTCTTTGGCTCCACGTCCTCATGTCAAGTTTTCTCTTCAACCCCCTTCAGTTGGCGGCTGCCTCCTCCTGTCCACCTGCCTTAGAAAGGTCACCAGTGCCTTCCAGGAGCCAAATCCAACAGAGACATCTCTGTCCTTAGTTTGAGGGATTATTTATCACCATTTAGCATTGTCTGACCATGCCCACCTTCTCAAAACACCTTTTTTCAAATTCCTGGAGAAAATGTTTCTTTGGTTTCTCTTCCCTCTTTCTTCTCAACCCCCTTGGTTGAGTTCTCACCCTATTTCCAGGCTCTCCCTGGTGAACCCCTCAATGCTCCTCCTCCGTCCTCTTCTCTCCTTTCCCTACTCCTTCTCTTTGGCTATTTCATCAATTTCCTTGGGCTGAATACCATCGTGGTGATACTGAGGACTCACACCTGTACCCCCCGCCCAGCTCCCCCCTGAACTCCAGAGCGGGGCACCCCACTTGGTATTTCACCTTTAAAGTCTCACAGACAGTTCACACTCACCAAATCCCAGATGTCTTCTCCCTCCCTGCGGGCCGCACTCGGGGGCACAGCACCGGTCATTCTCCTGAGCTACCTGCTCACGCAGCTCACCAAGACCCCGAATCTCCCCAGGTCAGGGATGCGGTCTCGTACCACGATGGATTCGATCTCTGTCTCCTGCTCCCATCTCATCCCTCCAGCCTGTCTTCCATACTGGTGTCAAAGGCCATTCTAAAGCATCATTCATTCTATTTCCCTGTCCCAAGACTTTGGATGGTTGGTCACTCATCACCTCTGAGGTAAGATCCACCCTCCCTGGAGCAAAAGAGTTCTGCCCCCTCCCTCCCTCTCCATCCAGGCTTGCTGTGCACTGGCCCGTCATGGTCCTCTCCTCCCCGCCCTGTGGGGGGACCTGTGCTGAGTCCCTCAGGTGCTCATAATGTTAATCTGGAACTCCATCCTCCTTCATCATGCTGTGAAAATCCAGCTTAGAAAACTTGTCTGGGTGTCAGTCTGACAAGAGGATGTTACGTTTGGTGGCAATAACAGACAGAAAGGGTGAGGCTCTCATCATGTTCTCACATGCAATCAGCAAGCCAGCAGATGAATAGAGAGCAAATGTCTAAAAAATTATTAAATCCACTCCTGAGCAAGCCACTTAATTACAGAGCCTTGTTTTCACTCACTGGTTCATTCTACAAATCCTTACTCAACACCTAGTGTCTATCATGAGCTCTTAGGATGCAGCAATGGACTAGCAGACCCAGTCTTGCCCTCGTGGACCACAAACATGGCAACAAGTCCACATACATCACACCAACAGGTGTGCACGTTACGAAAAAATGCAGCAAGAAAAGCCGTCTAGAAAGGGATGAGATAAGAAAGGGGTTCTATTTTATAAAGTGGAGTCAGGGAAGACAAAAAATAATAATCACCTTGGCTTTTTATGCAAACCTGACATTCTTCACCTCCTCTACTACTGCCCAGGCTCTGTTTCCCAGAAGATATCAATCTTTGAGATTTTTCTACTTTAAGCCATAAGAAGAGTTTTAAATATTTTTCCTCTGCCTTCATGTGTAAACATACAACAAATCTCTGAATCTGATTAATTCTCTACACAACGTATTTGGATGTCTCATGATAATAACATTCTTCATTAGACAATGCTGTCAGCTGAATGTGTCTCCCCAAAATTCGTATGTTGAAACTTAATCTGCAGTGTGATGGTAGTAGGACGCAGGGCCTTTGGGCGGTGATGAGATCGTGAGGATGGAGCCCTCATGAGTGGGATTAGCATCCTTATGAAAGAGGCCTCAAAAGGCTCCCTTGTCTTTTCTGCCACGTGAGGACACAGCAGAAAGACGGTCATCTATGAACCAGGAGGCAGGTCCTCACTAGACACTGAATCTGCCAGCACGATGGTCTTGAACTTCGCAGCCTACAGAACTACGAGAAATAAATTCCTGTGGTTTCTAAGGCATCCCGTTATGGGACTTTGTTAGAGCAGCCTGAACCTACGAAGTCAGACAGGCGGCTCCACGGAGAGCGGGACTGAACCCACTTGTCTGTCTGTGTCCCTGGCCTGGCCCTGTGCCAGGATGTCAGGAGGTGCTCAGTCAATATGACCTGAGTAAATAGATTCCACTCACAGGCCACTTTTTGCCTCTGCCATCTCTTCCTGAAAAACTCAGCCAACCCAGTCCTCCAGGCCTCCTCTGACCCTCTTTCTCTTTTTGACTCCCCCACTACAGGCGCTGTCGGCCACCTTGGTGGCTCTCAAGACCCTGCATCTGTGACGGGCGCTCTCCGTGAACTCACGACGTGCCAGGCCCGCACTGGGCGGTAAGGAGACAATGGGGGGCATGAGAGGCCCTCGCTCTCTGTGCAGCTCGGGGTTTCCGGGAGGATGCAGGGTAACCACCAAGTCATGGAGACTGGCAGTTCTGGAAAAGAATCTTGGACACTTACTGCATTTGATTTATACTAAAATTATTTTGGCGTTTGTCTTATTTTATCCTACTAGATATACCCCATGAAAGCAGAAACTGCTCTGTAGCTTTTTAGAAATGCTCACAGTAATTATTAACATTCCTAGCCAGAGCGGACATCCATGTGCTGATCTGGAACAAATCCCACCACCACGGCCTTTGACAATATAATCAAAGAAAACCGTTATACACCAGGAGCCTCGATTCTTGAGTTTCGATGTAAACCCAGACACACTCGTGCATTTATTCTCCAATTATTTACTGAGTGTCTTTTTGGTCTCAGTAATTCACGGGCAAGGAAAAAGAAATGCCCATCCCTCTGGATCATTACTGGGCGTGCACACAGTGCCATGGGGGCTGGGAGATGGGAGAGGTGTCCCCCTGCAATCAGAGCTTGACCTGGGAAGATGAGGAGTGTATGTACCTGGGGAAGACGGTCGACAAGCTGAGGCTACAGGGACACAAAGTCAGGCAATGTGCTTAGTGATTCGGACCACGTGGGACCTGGGGAGCAGGAGTGCAGGATGGGAAACGTTGGCTGGGTGAGAGGCGGGGCTGGAAGGACAGGGTGGTGGCCAGTTAGAAAGGCCTTTAGGAGTTTGGGATATTGTATCAATGACCAGACATCTTTGAAGGGTTTGCACAAGGCAGAGGCAGCCTCGGGTCCGTGATGTAGACCTGTGACTGGCCTCGGTGGGTATCAAGGGAGAGGCAGGAGGGAGGGGGCCGCTGTCCGGCTGTGGCGGGGCTCCGGGTGGGAGGGGGTGTGTCCGACACGACACCATACAGCTGTCCTCTCAGACCCTGACTGGGGGGCAGGGAGGCTTTCTCGGCCTGCCCTCACTGTGCCCAGGAGGAACCTGCAGTTTTGTGCCCCAGGGACCTTGCCGAGACTTTGACCTGAGTCCTGGCCTTCAGGATTCCTTTCTTAGCTGCTTCCCAGCCACGCAAGGTATTCCTTGAGGGCAGTGTCTGCATCTTGTCTGACGTTATGAACAGTAAATATCACTAACAGCCACAGTGAGCATGTGCACAGCGGTGACTCTGAGCAGGCCCACTTCCAAGCACTCAGCATGTGTTAACTCAGTTACCGCGATTGGAAAAAATAGCCGCTGTTTTCATTCCCATTCGACACAGAGGAGAACTGAGGCACAGAGAGATGAAGAATTAGAGGTGGCCAACATTTATAGGGCACTTACACTGAACCAGACATAATTCTAAGCCCCTCACTCGTATTAACATCTGGTCCTCACTGCAACCCCCTGATCTAGGAAGTATGACAGCTCACACCGTAGACGTGGGGACTGAGACAGAGAGGGAAATTAACTCACGCAAGGTTAAATAGCAAGTAAGAGGAAGACGCTCGATTCCAACCCAGCACTCTTGTTTCACAGTCTGGGCTCTTAGCCACATACTAGATGCAAAGTGTAGGGACTGCAAATGATTCTGAATTCATCAGTGAAAAGGTGCCGGCAGCCACAGACAGGTGAGCATCCTCATTCTGGTCAGAGCCCCACTCTGGCTGCCTGTCACCTGGCCCTCCGCTCTGACTGGTCTCAGGACCCAGAGACTTTCAGTTTCCCTTCTCCAGAAGTCACACTGGAAGGAATGTCCACTTGGGCCAGCAAAGCCCGTCCCTGCTCCTCGGGGATGACAGCCTTTCAGGGGGTGTTTCAGGCTCAGATGGGAGGGTGGGATTACCTTGTACCCACAGATGTGCTGCATCAGGCGGTCACACATGACGTTGCTGGTCAGGACTGAGTGCAGGACTTTCACAGCGGCGTACATGGTGTGGTCATCCGTCGCTAAGGAAATGAGACCCAGGAGGATGGCGGGCCCACCAATGAAGTCCAGGCTGCTGGCCGCAGGGCTGGAGTGGAACACCCTTACCCCTGTGTGGGACAAAGGGCATTCTTCAGTACAGTGGCACTGCCCATGCGAGAGTTGTCAGCGGCATCATCCCCTCCCAGCAGAGGGCGCTGTGCACAGGAGACAGGCTGGGAGGAAGAGCAGGGGCTGTGAAAGTTTTAGGTTCACTGAGAGAGCCTGTGCTGAGTCCTTTCTGGGTCACCAGAAGGCTGAAATAGCCCAGGGGGGTTCAGACCACCACCCAGAGTGCCAGCTGAGCCAGCTGCCCTCTGAGCCTCAGTCTGCTGGCTGCTCTGACAACTTCCAGCTCTTGTCTGCCCTCCAGATCCTCTGAGGTGGGACCCTTGCACCAGCTCGTGGCTTTGCTCTTGCCTGACTGCAAGGCAACCAACAGTCACTGGCTGCTGTTTCCATCCCAACAAATACAACCATTGCCTCTGCTCAAAGGACCCGCTACACTCACTAGCGAGGCTCCGCTGTGCACAGACGCCAGCCTGCTTAGTAGCGAGCGCACTACCAGCTGTCCGCGTCAGCTCCATGAACTGACCTCTGCAGGGAGGCTGACTCTCGGGTGTGGCTAACTCCCCACCTCTCACCCTCACTGTTTCGGTTCCCTAACCCACCCCGTCCCGCCTGCTGCTCCACAATTTCAGGTTGCACGAGTGATGACAGCCACAAGCCTTTCTTCCCAAAGGGCAGTAATGGCTCATACCTAGCTGGCCCACAGCCACGGCTCCGATGGTTCGAAGAGACCCGGAGAGGTGACCAGCACAATTTCTTAGCAAGAACACAGGCGTGGCATTGTCGCGGGACGAAATGTTCATCTAGAGAAATTGGCAACAGTGAGTCCTAGGAAGCTGTCCTGGGGAGGAGAAGGTCTTGTTCATGAGCTCCTGGAGGGTGGGCACCCGGAGGCCTGGCACTCAGTCAGTGTCAATCAGGGGATGAGTAGTAACTGAACCGGTGTCAGAGGGACTCAAGCCAAAATCCAGGTTCTCCTGTCTGGTCTCCCAGGTTCTGGCTTAATACTAAGATAGTAGCTTCGGTCATATGATCATGCTGCCAGTGCCCCATGCGCTCACTAGTATAGACAAATGCTCGCAGTGAGGAGCCAGTGAGGGCAAGCAGGACCTGGGGACTCTTGGAGGTGGAACAGAGCTACAAGGCCAGGGCTGCCTCCTTCCCAGTGCGGGGTCATCCAGCTCTGTGAGCGTCCAGCATCCCTCATCTCAGAGGGCCAGGAAGATGGGCACCTTGGCCTCCTCCATTAGAAGGTACCACACTGCTAACCCGGCTCTGGTGCTTAACAGGACCTAACCCCTGATCCCACCACCTCAGTAAAGGGATGTGGCCGTCCGTCTGTGAGGGTGGGGAGAATATAAAACAATCAGCCCAAATTCATCACAAGAAACAAAAGAGCTCTTTATGCAGGAATTGGGAAATAGGAAATCGAATGGCATCTTCATCTACAAACACGTCTGCTGGCTGTTTGGCACGTTTGTTGTTTTGTATAAACACAGTGACTCAAGGAATATTTTGCAATGGTGTGGAGCACCCAGAAAAGGGAAGCCTAATAGTGTTCCCAGTGTCACCAGGTGTTTTTGAATATCCCATTTGTTCTTGTTCTACTGAGAAGAATAAAGAGCCCTTTCTTTCTTCTTTGAGCAATTACAAATGAAAGGTTTAGTCTTGGCTGGGGGTGGGGCAGGGGTGCAAAGGGCAGGAAATCACAGAATATTTTCAAATGAAGCGGGAAGCACGCCTGCGTGTATACGTCTACACACGTGCAAATGTGAATCAGTATTTACTTAATCATCAGAAACCATGGATGCAAACCATGAGACCGTGATTCCAAAGAGGAGCAGCAAGTGAAATCAGAAGGCGTACCTCTTTAGCAATCAGGCGGCTGTCCACCTCATTGTACGTGGTTCTGATGTCAGCAGCACTGGTGACGGAGGAGCTGGCTATGTGAAGGCTGAAGGAAACCCTTTCCTCTGCAACCAGGGGCGTCACTTCCATCCCAGGATCCTCTCCTAAAACAACACGTCTTCAATCATTCCTACTCTCCCTTTCCTGAGATGGAAACAAACCCTCCGAAAAGTTAATATCTACAGCTACATGGCAACATAATCACTGAGAGCATGTTTGTACATTGTCACATGTTGTTACATGGTTTGTTCGTATACCTATGATTTCTGACAGTGATAGAAAACTGTAGAGAAATCTCACAAGATTAGCCCTACTATAAAATAGAGGCGTGCCGCATGTGAAGCTGTTAAAGCTTGAGACATCTGTCAAGAATGTAATCTCGCTCCCAAAACCAAAATGCTGGACGGAAAGCCCTAGGGTTTTCAGTGAGCTGCATGTCCCAGGTAGACACCTCTCCTGGAGTTAGTGCCCTGGTCCCTGAGTCAAGAAGAGCCACGTGTGCTACTGGAAAAGTATGGTGAGAAGATGGAGTTGGTGACACTTTGGCTCTGGACCGGACTTCCTCATGTAGTTCTCACCAGCACCATTTGCCAGAGGAAACGAAGTTCAAAGAAGACATGAGACCTGGAGATAGAAACACTCCTCGGTGCTCAACCGCCTTTCACTGAGCATGAAGGCTTCCGAACATAGATTCATTTATCATCCTTCCCACATGGGAGCTGACCCCCTGGACTTGACAGAGCACAGCGAGCAACGCTCCCTGCTTGAACAGCCAACAATCAATAGTGAAAATGTGGATGTTTTGTCTGCCTGTTTAATAATTGAAGACAACAGTATACTTTAGTTAAAAAGCTTCTTCATTAAAAGGAATGTAACTTATTTACCTCATTCTCTTCCCTCTTTCTTTGCTCATGGCATTACCCACCCTCTTTCCTCCATTATGTGCTTTGGAATTGAAATCTAAAGGAGACTGTCACTTCCTTTTCTGTGACATCTGCTGTTGGGTCGTAAATATATAATGATCCAGTAGCAGAGATCTCCTCTAATGACTGGCCTGTGCTTAATTTATTCTTTATAAATATGCTATAAATAACCGGAAGTCCATTTAAAAAATAATACCAGCAAGATCATTACAAATCAAAACACCCCATACCTTGGTCAAGCACAGCTTGGAAGTTACCGCAGTATCTTGGGCCAAGTTTGTTAATAACTTCCAGGGTTTCCACCGAGATGGCTTCTTCAAAGAGGTACGCGGGGCCCAGACGCCATATCAATGATGACTTCTGTTTCCAAACTCGAGGGGTAGCAATGTACCCATAAACATCCACAAAGGAGGATGGATCCATTGAAAGGAAGGGTCCTGGTAAGGCCTGAATGTACAACATCTGTTAAAATAAAAGGGTAGAGGGGGAGAACGGTGGATGAGAGGTGTTTGGCCTCAGAATTAATCAAATAAATACATAAAATATAAAATGAAGTACCCTATTTTTCTCTCAGAGTAAAAAAAATTATTTTATCTAAACACATTACAAAGATAACTCTGGAAGCTAAGGGGCAGTACACAAAACAGTTTGTAAAGTGCTGGTGGAAGTAAAAAAACCAACCCTGTGCCTTTGGAAACAAATTTGATAAGAAATGTGAAGAACCACTAAAAGGTTCATCTTTTTTTCTCCCCAGTCATTTCACTAAGAATTTGCATGTCCAATATTGGCACATAAGTTAAGTTTTATGTACTAAAAATAATTACACTGGAAAGGAAGAAATGAAACTGTCTCTATTTGCAGATGGCATGTCTATGCAGAAAATTCCAAGGTGCCTACCAAAAAACAAAACAAAACAAAACAAAACCTCCCAGAACTAATAAGTGAGTTCAGCAAGGATACATATCAACATACAAAAATCAAGTTTCTGCTGTATAGCACAGGGAACTATGTTCAATATCTTGTAATAACCTTTAACAAAAAAATATGAAAATGAATATATGTATGTATATACATGACTGGGACATAGTGCTGTATACCAGAAATTGACACACTGTAACTGACTATACTTCAATTAAAAAAATAGGAAAAATTAATAAATAAATGATTTCCCAACACTGATAACATCCCTTGATGGACCCTAATCAGACACATTTATTACAGATGATTTGCTAACATTTAGAGTATCTCTAGCTATGATACTACGAGAAATGATTTAAAGTTTTCTGCATTATTTTTTACCAAGTTTTGGTATTACAGTCACATTAACTTCGTAAAAAACGCACAGACACAAAAATCAATTGCATTCTACAGACTAACAAAGAACGTGGAGAAACTAAAGTCAAAAACAATGCTATTTATAACTGCTCAGAGAAAATGAAATACTTAATAAAAGATGTGTAAGCTCTGTATACTGAAAATTCCAAAAGGATGATGAAAGAAATCAAAGAACACCTATATAAATGGAGAGACACAGCACATTCCTGGATAGAAAGACTCAACAGGGTAAAGATGTCATTTCTCCCCAAAATGATCTATCTGCTGAATGTAATTCCTCTCATATCTCAGAAGGCTTTTTATAGACAGACAAGCCAATTCTAAAATTTAAATGGGAAGGCAGAAGTTCTAAATTAGTTTAAACAAATAGCTTAACAAATAGCTTGACTCTTCTTTTTCGAAAAATAGGACTTAAGTGGCAGGCACTACACTTAAGTCAATATTAAGGATTACTGCATAGCTATAATAAATAAGAGAGCGTGGTTATCTGTAGGGAGATAGTCACACAGATCATTGGAATAGAGTAGAAAATCTAGAAATAAGTGCATACAAATATACTCAACTGATTTTTGACAAAGGTTCAAAAGTAATTCAATGAAGGAAGGATGGCCTCTTCAAGGAATGGTCCTGGAGCAACTGGACATGCATAAGCAAAGAAATGAACTTCAACCTAAACCCCATCCCTCACACAAAAACTAACTCATAACTGATCACAAACTCAAGTGTAAAATGTAAAACTGAAAAACTTAAAGGAAAAAAAAAGGCATAGAAGGAAATCCTCAGGAGCGAGGACCAGGCAGAGAGAGTTCTTAGACTTGACACCAAAAGCATCAGCCATAAGACAAAAAAAAAAAAAAAGATGAATTATATTTTATCAAAATAAAACCATTGCTTTGCAAAATCCCATGTGAAAGAGAGATAAAGCAAACTATAGATGAGGAGAAATTATTTGCAAATCACACAGCTGACAAAGGACTAGTATCTAAAATGTACAGATAAATTCTTAAAACTCAACAGTAAAAAACAATCCAATTAGAAAATGAGCAGAAGACGTTCACAGACATCATGGAAGCAGATACACAGGTTGCAAAGCAGCACATGAGAGGATGTTCAATCTCATCAGCTATTAAGGAAAATGCAAATTAAAAACAAGAGATAGTACTTCGTGCCCATCAGAATGGCTGAATTAAAATAATGACATCACCAAATGCATAGAAGCTGGACCACTCGTCCATTGCCGGTGGGAACGTAAAATGGAAGTCACTCTGGAAAAGTAGTTGGGCAGCTTCTTGTAAAACCAAACATGCCCTTACCATGGGACCCAGCGATCGGGCTCTTAGGCATTTATTACAGAGAAATGAAGACTCAAGTTCACACAAAAACTTGTACACAAACATTTATAGCAGCTTTATTCATAATAGCCCCAAACTGGGAACACCTGAGATGGCCTTCCATGGGTGAATGGTTGTATATCCAGATATGGAATACTATACAGCGATAAAAAGGAATGAACTATTGACACGTGCAGCAACTTGCATGAAGTTCCAGAGAATTATGCTGAATGAAAAGTCTAATCCTAAAATATGATATACTATATGATTCCATAGATATATAACACCTTTGAAGTGACAGCATTTTAGATTACCGGTTGCTGAGTTTAGGGACAGGGATGGGGAGGGGGTGTGCATGGGAGATGGCTGTAGTTATAAAAGTGCAACACGAGAGACCTTTGTGGTGATGGAAGTGTTCTGTATTTTGGTGGTGGTTGTAGATGCAGGAACACACGCATGTGATAAAATTGTATTGAACTAAACACATACACCTGAGCACAAGTAAAACTGGGGAAATCTGAATAAACTGTATCAATGTCAGTATCTTGGTTGTGATATTATTCTGTAGTTTTGCCAGATGTTGCCATGGAGAGAAACTGGATAAAAGGTACACAAGATTTCTCTCTTTCTTAACAACTGTTAGCCTACAATTTTCTCAATAAAAATTTCAATGAAATAGCTAACAGATCATCACAAAGTAAAAAATAATAGTTTCAAAGCCCATGTAGATAAAACTTTTTTAGATGACAGTGTTAATTACATAGTATACAAATTTTTCTATAAAGTCACAGCTCCTTTTTCAAAGGAAAAAAAGCTGAAAGGAAGCATAAATGACGGTAAGATAGAAGGAAAGTAAGTAATCTTTCCTCTTTTCTCTATCTTTCAGTTATTTCAAAATGTGTTTACATTATTTTTATAACAACTCTAAAATTACTACGTACATGAATATGTATACAAATACATTTTTTTAAATGAGGTCGTATTATTTCAAAAATATTCTTTTTCTCCCTACCAATGAAATAAGATTTTCAAACAAAAACAGTTTTTCAGCCACCGAGTCTGCGTAGAGTGAGGTCTGCTGTGCTCGCTCCCCTCTCCTGTCCTCTCAGGCAGGGACTTTTTCTCCCACATAACACCCTGTCCCACCCCTTCGACCCACCTTGCCCCTTTCTCCCCAGACTCCTACCGCACACACTCTCTGCACCATTCAGACTGACTTCTAAACGCAAGACGTCTCAAAATGCCCCTAAACTGTTTTGCTCAATGTAAGCTGTTAAAATACTCCCTACCTTTCTCAATTTAACTTATCTTCCCTTGGAAGTAAAATCAAGGCTCTAACATTTGAGGAGAGCTATTCAGCGGGATCACTCCCAACCAAAGATCTCCCAGCTTGTTCTTGCCCAGCAGGCATCTGCATCAAAACACAGCCCTTTACGTTTATATCATTTAAATTTCACATGCTGAGCCTGACCCGACTTGGTGAAATCATCTTGGAAAGTCAACTCTGTCAGACTTTGCCCTGGGCCATCTGCTATGGCATCTTTGGGCATCTTTGGGCACACCTCAAGGCATCACACCACTTCCAACCTCCCTGCTGACTGACTCTGGCTTAGCTGGCCCCATGAAGTTGAATGTTCATCCATATACCAATTCACTGAACAACACTCCCAGCCAGGCCATGTTACTCCTTGTGGCTATAAATTCAAGGCGATTCATCAGGTGTTTATTGCACGCTCTCTGTGTGCCAGCCCCTGGGCGAGGCGCAAGAAAGGTCCAAAAATCAATAGGACAAACCTCTTAGCCTCAAGGTACATGAACAATTTCACAGGATACCAGCCTAGACAGAATAGTAACATATTCTGTGAAAGAGACAAAAACTAGCCAGCTTTGTAATTACGCAGATAAAAACAAAGACACTGGGCAACCACACAAGTGACCACACTTTCCATCCTGGCTCATATTGAGTGACCACCGCTCCTTCTCCAATAACAGCTCAAGCCCTGCCCTACTCCTCCCACCTCCTGGATAAAAGTTCTGAGGTAATACAGACGTCTAATTGCCTCTCCTCCTGACAGCACCCAATTCAGAATAGAGTGACCTCCGCTTCTTTGAAGCGTCTCAAAAACCATCGGGTAAGGAGATTCTTGCGACTGCAAGCTTAATAAGTGTAACTTTCATTTGTACTATATGCACGCTCCTAGGTGTTTCACTCTTGGGCATGGACAATTCCTAACTCCTAAAACAATATCTAACACTTAGTAGGTGTCCAGTAAATATTTAATGAGGGAAGGAAGGAATTGTTAATGGTTGTGGAAAAAAAATTGTTTGGAGGATCCTTTTTTTATGCTCCTAAGACTCACTCTGATAACCACTGCTTTTTTTTGGTAAGACAATTTTACCAAAAGATAGCATCAAATTCATCTTCAGGTGTTCCACAGAATTTAGGTTGTTCTAACCTAATGATTCTCAACCTGGGGTGATTTTGCCCACCTCCCCCCACTACCCACCCAGGGACATTTGGAAATGTCTGGAAACACTTTTGGTGGTCACAACTGGGCAGAAGGAGACGCTATGGCATCTGGGGAGCACAGATGCTACTAAATGTCCTGATACATATAGAAGAGGTCCCCACAACAAAGAATTATTGGGCCCCAAATGTCAAACTACTGACATGAGAAACCCTATTAATCTAAGGGTCTCCTTTCTGGCTGCATAGTGAAACCACCCAGGAAACTTGGAAAAAACTACCAAATTATCCCACCCATAGAGATTTTGCTTTATTTGATCTGGGGTGCAGCTTGTGCAAGAGAACTTTAAGAAGACTTTCCAGATGAGTTTAGAATGCAGCCTAGGTTGAGATGCTGTCTCTGGAACCCAGGTGAAAATCTGGCTGCACCTGCCCTCTGTGGTCTTCTGGGTCCTCCTGTCTCTGGCTTCCTCGGGGACTTTTGATGGTGGCTGCTGGACCATGCCTGCCAGGTCCTCAGCTCCCAGCTTCCTCCCCCTTATGCCCCAGGACCTCAAATGACGGTGGCGAAATGCTTCCTCCAGCTATGTGTGTTCACACTCCATTACCTTCTCTAGGCAGGGGACCATCCTTTCCTCATCACTCCTGCTCTAAACCTGGCAAGAAGTGTTGGTGTCTTTGCAAGATCTGGTGTCTTGCTCCTAAGTGTAGTGCGCAGACCAGCTACATTAGTCTCGCCCAGGAGCCTCTTAGAAAAACAGGACCCAGGGCCCTGCTTGGACCTCCCTGGGGAATTCGCACCTTAAAATGTGAGAAGCTTTGCTTTGTTCAGTCTGGAGATTTATACTCTCTTATGACTATTCTTACAATATAATTGTCATGGCTACTCTTATTTCCATGTTTTACTCTCTGCTCTGGTTCTGTGACTTCGTTCTAGTTTCTAAAGATGTCTCTTTTTTAACATTTTTTATTGATTTATAATCATTTGACAATGTTGTGTCAAATTCCAGTGTTCAGCACAATTTTTCAGTCATACATGGACATACACACACTCATTGTCACATTTTTTTCTCTATGAGCTACCATAAGATTTTGTGTGTATTTCCCTGTGCTATACAGTATAATCTTGTTTATCTATTCTACAATTTTGATTTTAAAGCCTGAGTTCAGCCAAGTGTTCTGGACAGCAAGGGGCTTTCATAAGATACCAAACCCGCCACCAAAAGAAAGCAAAGAACTGAACTGAGGCCACTACGGGGTGGCGTGGCCAGGAGGCATGGGAGAACCATCTCACCTTGGCTGAGCCAATGACCTGTCCGTCTAGGTAGGTGGAAACCACACAGTTCCTTTTCATCTCCTTGGTGACAACCACAGTCAGGTGGTGCCACTGACCACAAGCCAGCAGCTGGCCACATCTGACCCGAAGCTGGCAGCCCGCAGAAGGCTCGGAGTCATCCTCGGGTTCCATGACATCTGGAAGAGAACACAGACGGCAGACCTCACCCGCGGCATCCCACTGCGGCCACCCGGCAGAACGGGCCTTGCACCTGTGGACCCAGGGCTGAGCCCCACCTTGTAAAACACTGACAACAGCAGTGATCATTGCTTGAGCTCCTGCCTTGTGCCAGACACTGTCCTGAGGACTGTAACAAATATTAGCTCATTCCATTTTCATGACAGCCCAGTGAGCTAGGCGCTATCCTGATTCCTATATTATCCCTCCTGAGGCACAGAGAGGTTAGATAACTTGCCTCAGATCACAATGCCAGGGTTCAAACCCAGGCGTCAGGCTGCTGGGATTATGCTCACTAGACAGTCTCTATAGTACTGCCCGTTAGCCAGCAAAGTCCCGGGAGGCAGGGGGCCTAGGCAGCCGTGCCGTGTGTGAAGGATGCCAAGCCAGTCTCTGGACCTTCTGGTGTCTCACTCAGCAACAGGGACCCTCTCTGGTGCACCAGAGCAGGGGCAGCCATAACACACTGGCCTTGGCATCGCAGGCCGGTTCGGGCCATCGAAGGCAGGTGAGCTTGGAAAGCCAGGCTGAGCTCTAAAGGGCAGGGCCAGGACGAGCCAGCAGCACTACAGAGGGAGGGTGGGCCCCTGGGCTTGTATGTCAAGAGCTGCTGACTCAGCCGCATTTCCGCCAAGTGTGGGCCAAGCGGCACTGGCCTCTGACACCTTACCCAAGGGCTGAAACTCTTTCTCTTCTGTAGACACAACCAGGGAGAGGTCATCCGGGCAGAGGCTGATGGAGAAGCAGACGAAGGGCTGCTCAGTCCGCGCCAGGTGGCGCACCAGGGTCAGGAAGCGCAGGGGGTGGCCCTCCGAGACGGCACCATGCCTGCTGATCAGGAACCAGCAGGAGAAGGTCAGGCCCCCGGGTGGAGGGAAGGACCTGGCAGCGCCTGGGGTCAGAACACAAGCACGCCCTTAGGCTCTGTCCTGCTTCGGAAGCCTGTCTAGACTCCCAGTGCCTCTGACTCAGCCCGGGGGTGGCCCTACTGTGCGCCAGCACCGCGCCTGCCTGACCTATGCCCACTTACGATGCCCCCACACAGAAGGGTGATCTCGCCTCCCTTCTCACACTTGTAGAAGTCATATTCCTGCCAGGACTTGAGCCAAGATCCTCGAAGCCTGTCCCCAGTTCTGTTCCACCAGTGTTTCCATGCGGCCTTGCCAAGGGAGGGGCGAGGGGGCACGGCCCTGAGGTTTGTCACCACTTGGCCCACTGGTCAGCTGATCTAAGGCCAGGCAGTGCGCTATGTTGCAGGGGAACACCGGCCTAGCTCGGCTGAACTTTGCACAGGATGCTCCAATCTAGGGAAACCCAAGCCCTCCCACCTCAGAATAAGGTTGGCAGTCCAGGCAAGGCCCACTGACCCCACCGAATGGGTGGAATCAGACTCGGAAGCCTGCGTCGATGGGCCATAAATGCAATGGCTCCTCAGCAACCCCCTCCACCCCCCCATAGAAACCCAGAGCCTGGCTCTCCTAATAGAGGGTGCCTGGTTTCAGCAGAGGGTTGCACAAAGCACGCCAAGGCCCAATGGATCCCCACACGAGTCAAGGACAGGCTTGTTCCCGGATGACCATCAACACAGAACTCATAATCCTCTCCAGAGAGAGCCATAAGGTGGGGCAAGGTGTCCCTTTCAGCCTCTGTTAGTCACCGGCAAAAAGCATCAAACTCAGCCAGGCTCAGCCACCAAGTCACCTACCAAGTCCGTCAACACTGAGCTGTGGGCTGGGCCCTTGGGACACACAGTGAACCGGACACCCCTGCCCCAAGAGAGGCACAACCAACTGGAAGGATGACTCATCTACAGACATGCAGGACCAAGAGGAAGACGCATGCTTTCTGTAAATGCCAGGTGGAAATCTGAAATCAAGACTCCCCAAGGACTTACTCCCAGGACAAGAGAAGGGGACCTCAGCAAGCTCCACCCCCAGGGAAGCACCTACCTGTCCCAATTCCTCCGGAGATCGAGTACTCGGTGCTGGTTCCCATCACCGTGGACAGGGTTGGAATAAACAAACAGCTGGAAACAGGAAAGTGTCTCAGATCATGGAACCGCAAGCCAGCCTCTGGCTGTGACGTCTCCCCCTCCGTCCTTCTGCAGGGGCCTCGCTCCCTCCTAGACCCTGAGGCCCCAAGGACAGAAAGTGGCTGATGCTGGCACCATGGCCCTAAGAAAGGATTCTGCTCTGGAGACTGGCGGGGAGGGCTGTCCAGAAGGGAGACACACTTGGGGAAGGAGAGGGTCCTGGCTGGGCAGCTGGGGATGCTATCCCTGAGAAGACAGGGTGTCCATGACCCAGACATTTTCCACAGCTGAGTGTGAGTGCTGATGGGACTACAATTTTGTAGTCAATGCTGTAATTCACCCTAGGCACTGGGAAACTAGTACAGTGTATTTCAAGTACATGAAAGCCGGACATACCCATAACCTTCCACAGACATGTCAAATTCCACGAACGACGGAGCCAGGGCCGCCCTCTGAGGCTGCAGGTTGCGCGGGGAGGTCATGGAAATGAGGCTCAGTGCCGTCTGAAGGGCAGTGGTGGAGCCCTGGGATGGCCTCGAGGGCCTGCTGGCCTGTGTGACCACTGGGCAGGGGCTGGCATCCTGGGCAGCCGCCGCAGGACCCTCAGCAGGCACTGGGGCTGCCGCCGGCGACCCTAGGGCGGCAAGCAGAAGAGATGTGTCTTTGCTCAAAGCACGTCCTTCCCTCTTCTGACAACAGCCCTGACGTTTTTGCCACAGCCCCGGAGGAGAACCCTGCAGAGCACCAGGCATTTCCTAACCCGGAGCCTCCCACCTGGTCCGCCCCAACCCCAGCCCTTTGCTGGTTTTGATAACACTGAACCGTGGTGACAACCTGTTTCTCTTAGAAACTTCTCCTGTTAATTCTAGCATGTCCCTCACCCCTTTCCAATACATTGTTTTCTGTTGCTGTCCTTGAGTTGCCCCCCGGCAGACCCTCACTGGGGCTTTGTCCTGGCCCTCTGACCTCTACACTGTTTTGCAACAGCCTGTCTCTTCAAAAGCTCTGTCTCCCACCTCTGGCTGCCAGCCCAAGCCTGACTCTCCAACGTTGCTTTTCAGTTGAGCCTCCTTGCCTTAGACATCCCATGAGATCTTACATTCAGCGTGTCCACGTCAATCTTTCATCCAGTATCCTTGGATGCTGGACCAGCATCCTTCCAGATAACAGGCCAATGCTTTGTCCTCCTGACCCCCTAACTCCTCCCTGAGCTGTGAGCTGTGCAGAAAGCTGACCCTGCACCTCTGTCCAGGGGCAGCACTGGGTACCCCTGCAGGCGCTGTGCCACAAAGGAAACCCTGTCATTGTTTCCGTGATCAGAGCCCAAAGGGATCAAGTACAAGTTCACCATCACCTGTCTTTATGGGGGTAGGGGTCATCCTCCCTCCAGTTCTGGGCTTTGTCAGAGGACCACTGATCCGATCCCCCTGCTTTTCCTCATGTGCTCCATTGAGCAGCAGGCAAAATCACTGTAAAACCTGTCTGCTTCCCAGGTGCTATAAAGGCTCCTTTACAAGGAATGCATATTCTCTCTTTCTTTTTTTTAATTTTTTTTTACTGAAGTATACTCAGTTTACAATATTGTGTCCATTTCTGGTGTACAGCACAACGTGTCAGTCACATATTCCCTTCTAAATCCCGTTACCCTGCCCCTGCTCCTTTCCTTTTCCTCACCTGAGCACCTGGAGTCCCCGCTGTGCACATGAGATGAATTGAGAATTTTCGCTGCGGCCGAGGGAGGTGGGGGGATTCCAAGACCTAGAAACTGTCTGAATATCATAACAAACAAGGGAACAGACTGAAGACATTTTACGGGCAGAAGTTTCCTCCAGCTTCATCCGAGCGCTGCCCTTAGATCCCAGAGTTCTCTGGTGCCCCCTCCATGTGTTCCTCTCTCTGCCTGGAAACCCCTTCCTCAAGCCACGCAGAAACAGGGCGTCCCTGTCCTGGCACCCAGACCAGAGAGCTGATGAATTTAGATGCTTCTGACTTAACCAGTGACCAGCGAGGAGCCTCAAACTGGACCATGAAAAGAAAAGGATTTTGTTGAAAAATAACTTTGTCTCACTTTAAGTTTCTAATGGAATTTACTGAACAGCTGAATTAAGCACAGTGGCCTTGTCTGATAACCCCACAGAGGCTGAAAGAGGCTGGCCTGGCCCCTGGGTCCCAAGCTTGCTGGTTGGAGGAGTTACCTTCCATCCCTGGCACTCGGTCCAGCAGGCGTGTGGCCCTGGGCATGCCCTCCCTACACCTACACCTGTATCATCCAGGTATTTAAGAGACCCTTGACACCCTCTCCTGCAGCCTTTGTTTCCTCTGCATTTTTGTCCTGTGTCTGCTCCTCCCATGCATCTCCCCTCCCTCTGTGGCTCTCCAGGGAACATGTGGCTTCACAGAGGGGCTGCCAGTGGGAAGGCCCCACAGGATACAACGGCACTGTCTCTGTGCCCCTCCTTGTCAGGAGTCCCAGTCCCTGTCCCTCATGCCAGCCGAGCTTCCTGTGGTCTGGCCTCTCTGCAGGCAGGCCCTCACAGCCCCCACCCTTTTCAGCAGGGCATCTTTACATGCCCGGTTCCCTCTTCTCCCAGTCTGGTGAACATCTGCACAGGCTGGGAAGCCCCCCTTGAAGCCCCTCTCTTTATGCCCAGTTTCCCAGCTGTGGACCTCCCAGCTCCACAGACCTACCCTCTGCACCAAGCATCCCCTCCAGCGCACTCCTATATTGTCGGCAGGACTCTTTGCTTATTGCCCCCCGCCCCCACCAAGACATCAGCTCCTTGGGAGGGCTACGTCTGCTCCGTGGGCTGCACACTGCTGTGGACGCAAGGCTCCTCCCTAGACTTGTAGTGTCCAATGCTGGGAAGAGGGGAGGGAGCCCGGGGACACCTGTCCCCACGCACCTCTTACTGCCCGCTATGCACAAGCGCGGCACACAGTACCTTAGCACGTCCGGTTCGATGGCTTGGGAAGCAAGCTTTTCAAAAATCCTGATGAGACCCGACTGCAGGGGGCTGCTGCCGGTGGTCAGGACCTTGTGGCAGGAGGTCATGAGGGTCCTGAGCATCCCTGCCTCACACATGACCTGACGGTTCTTCTCTGACTTCACCAGGGACTGGATGTGACTGGCCAAGGAGCACTGGATCTCCTCGGAAAGCTAAAAGGAACCAAAGAGAGCGGTGAGCCCTCGAGGTCGGCATGTTTTGTGGCCTGCCGTGGTCGGCCCCGGGCTAGGCCTTGAGCTGGCGGTGGGGCAAGGAGACTGGGCCCAGCAGCGCCTGCGGTTCTCACTGCTGCCCCCCCCCCCCGCCGCTTCCTCCTGTCCCAGGTGCTCTCAGACACGCCCTCCTCACAGGAGCTGCCAAACAGGTAGATGGCTTAAAACAGAGACGGCAAACTGGTAGGCGAGAGGCTGCGCGTGCCTGAGACGCATGGTGTTTGACCCTCACGATGTTAAAACGGATTCTGAATTGCTAACATTTGAAAGTCTGGAGAGTCTACACAGAAGTCCAGACACACGGGCTCTCTCAAAAGATGGAAAGATCTGGTCAGGCTGGTTTGCCACCCTGAGTCTGTGGAGGAGCAGCTGGAGCTGGTGCCCTCTGGAGGGTCCCACACCTCCCTCCCAGCCCCCGCCCCCGCTGGCAGGGCTCAGTGTTTGAGTCTGCACCCCTGGCCTAGACGATGGAGTCCTCCTGGGAGGACCAGCCTGCAGGAGCTACCCACACAGCTGGCTGCGGCAGCTTCAGCCCCCTCCGCCTCCACCTGTCAAAGCACACCCAGAGCCCACAAACCCTTCAGTCATGGCTCCTGCAGGAAGCCAGTGCTCCGCTTCGCCCCTCAGGGGCTGTCTCTCTCCCACCCGCCCTCCAGCCATCCTTTGCCATCCCTGTGCTAAGCACACTGAGACACACAGACAGCGGCTCTCTTGTTTCACCCCTGCTGGGTCTCAGGTCACTTCACTATCTTTCTGTCCTCGAAGCCCACAGAACAGAGCGCACAGAGTCAGCTCAGCAAATATCTGAGCCAGGTACATTGTTATCACAATTTTCCTTTCTTCATAAAAGATAAACCCCTGGACTTTCCCGCCTTCCATGGATATATTCTTTTACTTTGCATAAGATCGTCTGAAATGAGAGGGAGACCAGTTAGATCTTAACGGATTTTTCCTGCAATGGAGGCTGTGGGGGCTCCACCCAGACCGCCTTCCCCAGGGGAGTGCACCCATCCCCGCTGCCTCCTCTGGAGGTCAGCCTCCCCTGAGAGGTAGCTGCCCTGCCTGGGGGCTCCGCCGTCTCTGCATATATGTTCATGTATGCGTACACGTGTGTACCCTCCCACACATGCATGTACACACATAAAAGTGTGCACAAATAAACACACACAAGACTATAGCCAATGAGGCCACACCCTTCAGGGTTGAGAGCCCCACCCCGTGGGCTCGGGCTGAAGCCAACTTCAGCTGACAGCGCATCTTCACTCAGCTCCTTCCCCTGCAGCCTCCTGCTTCCCTCACTCCCCTTCTCCAGAGCCCCTCCCTCCACAAATCCCATGCACCTGGACCCCTGTCTTGGGCTCCACTTCAGGGCACCCAGCCTGAGGCCCTAGCCTGCTTTTCATACTGCCCGCCTTTGCCTTAGGGTCCGGTTTCAAGACAAGAGATCTGTGATGATGTAGATCGCGTCTAGGTTAGCCCACCAATGTCACCATAAAGGCACTTACGTGAGAAACCTCTTTCAAATGAAGACTGGCTTCTGGTCCCATGGAGTCTCAGACCAGCTGTCCCCCATCCCCCATGGGAGCTTCCGTGAAGCACTGCCCCGCCTCCCTTCCTTCCTCTTTTGCTTCAACAACTGTTAAGGGCCTTTTCAATGTCAAGATTCAGGTGAAGTGCTAGGCATTTCAAGGTGAATATGTGCCCGCTGTCAAGGGAATCATAGACAGGTGAGGGCGGAGTCTCAGCGCAGTGGGAGACATGCTCTGGCGGAGAATTTACTGTCTGAGAGTGGGGAGCTTCGCACACTTCATGGAGTTCTTGGAGTCAGAAAGGAGTCCAAGCCTGGTATCTACTTCCGGGGCCAAAATCTACCCTGTCATGAAGCCATTTCCTGGATATTTCGGATGTGTCACACCTGGTCCAAGCATTCTGACATGTATAGCTAATGCCACCCCTGTGAGGAATCTTCTGTGTGTGGCAGGGGCGGTGTTACTATTACTATCCCCATTTTACAGATAAGGAAACTGAGCCCAGAGAGGAGAATTATCCAGGCCACACAGTAAGGACAGAGCCTAGCTTTGACTACAGACCCCACGCTCAGAATCACCTCTTTCCACCATCACCTCCCGACACATGCAGTCATTTGAGGCCACACTGCCCAGAGATGGTCAAAAGCACGTCTACATCATAAAGGGGCAGAAATTAGTAAGATGACATTCTTCCACAGGCTATGAACACAGTTTTGTAGCATATGTTTCAAGGATTAAAATTTATGGTGAAACCTATTTATACTGTTTATCATCAGTTTCTAGGTTTTTTTTAAAACATGAAGGGGTCACACAGCTCACCCTCCTGTCCTCCCCACCTTCCAGAAGCATGACACCTATAGCTCCTGCCTCAGACGGA